CCTGCCTTTATGGCACCACTGATGTGAGCCTTACAATCATTAGGTTGCTGGGCAGGGCACTGAGGATTCCACTGAGACTGGTGGGTAAGATACATGGGGGAGGAGGTGGATTCCAGGGCCTGACTTGGAAGGAACTTGAAACTTGGCCAGGAGACCAAAAGGAGGCACTTTTAGGGTATTGGCAGTGGGGAGAGGACAGCAAGTTCAACCTGGGGAGAAAGAGTTTGGCTATTGGAAGCATAGTGTGTATAGGGGGTAAGATGGCATGGAGGGGCCAGGGAGAGGTCAGAGTTTTTCATGGACTATACATTGGCTTTAATGTTTTGAAAATTAATTTGGTTCTTATCAATGCTTTTATAATAGTTTTGGAAAGAAAATATATATGAATGAGCTATTTATGAGCCTTTTTTAGAAGACTTTCCATCCAGCAGCATGTCTCACTTTATAAAAAATAAAATCCAGAGTTAAAAGTGATATGAGTGCAGACATATTTCTATTTGACAAGACGTCTTACTAGCATTCTCATAGAGACATCTAAGATATTCAAAGCTGTACCCATCTCCCTGTTTAAATAAGCTAATACAATATGAAGTTATTTTCACTTATTTCTTTCAGTGAGACAGAGTGGTCTATCTAACCAGAAAGGCATCATGTTCATATCATGAGGACCCGTACAGTTTGTTAATCTGAAGCTCAATCAATGAATTACACATTAACAAAGTATAATCCATGCTATGAAACAATGTCATATGGATATTTTAATAAGCTCATAAATGTGGGGCCTAAACTCATTCCAGCACCAGTATGAGCTCAGTTGGGGTCCACTGATTTTCACATGGTTGTAGGGGGAGGGACGGGGGGACTTTTGAAGTGTCTCAGATAAAACAGACTTGATAGATACTTAGAGTAGATAATTGGGAATGGAAGTGTCACAGGCTGTAAACTGGTGGTGAGGGTAGACATGATTAACATCTCCATTAAGCTAGCTAGAGAAGTGAAAAATCCTTAACACCTGCTGGAGACCATAGGTGGGGACTGAGCACCACTTCATGAACAACCTGTCCTTCCAACTAACCCAATCATATCCTAGAAGTGATTAATTAAATAGGCAACAATTTCATAAAGGATTAAGCTGCTCCCCAAGAAAGAAACACTTTATCAGAACAATTACTGCCCTGTGTCTATACAGGTGTCTACGATAACAAACCTCTTCCTTTTAAATGCAGCTGTCTGCTTGTGACTGAGTAAGCAATTTCTTCTCCTTTCTTTTTTTTTTTTTTTCTAATAAACCTAACCTGTTGTCTATAACCTTCACTGCCTGTGTCTGTGCAAATATCTTCATCTCAGTGGTAAACTCTGTGTGCCACTGAAAGGCGAACTCAAAACTTATCTGAGATAAACCAAGCATCCCACTCTTCTGAACTCTACATCTCATTAGAACCCCATCAATGTGCACATATGGAAGAGCAAACTGTAACCCCAAAATAAAACATGGTAAAAATTCATTTAAAACATTAGCATATCAAGCCCTCCCTGGTGGCGCAGAGGGTTGGAGCCCTGCACTGTGAAGCTAAGCTGAGCCATGGTGGCTTCAGTGCAAGTTTGATCCCTGCCTCGAGGTGACCCGCATGGCACAGCAGACCTCTCCTGCTGTCTATCTGCCTATTCTGCTCCTTGCTCTGTTTATGGTGAATCCTCTCACCATCTCCCCCCACCAACCCCGCTCCCCAAACCTCTGGCTTATACCCCAGCTCTTTTATGCATAAATACATTTTTTAAAAGATTATATCAAGTGTTAAGTGAGAATTAGAATAGAAACTCACTACATTCTGGGCTCTTTGAAGATTTTACAGGCTCACTGACATCCCTGGGTCATAGTCCCAAATGTTCATTGGATTTATTACATAATAACCATGGAGCTTTATTCCCTAGTATGTAAAAAAATGACCCTCAAGGCAGTCAGCGATCCTATTCTTTTGAATTTTATAGACTAGTAAATGTCAAATAAATTTTTTTGGGAACTGACATATAGACCAACTTTTATATTAAGGACAATGAAAAAGACTAACAAACATTATCTACTATCATTTTGCAGACTGTGCACCCTGAACTTTTAACACTACATTTCTTAGCTTCTTTGTTTTCTGTGGATTGATGAAGCTTATCCATAAGGCATCTCTGTAGACTAATTCTCCTTTGTTTTCATAATAGGGACAACCATATCCACTTGTAGATAATGTTAAGTTGCTCAGAGAAAGGCTAGGACTTAGAGGAAACCCTCAGGCATTCAAGTGCAAAAGTATCTTGCCTCAGTTTCCAATATTAGCTGTTAGCCATCAGAAAGTATATCATTGCTGTAAAGAGACATAAAAAACAGACTGTGGCAAGTAGAATCATGAAAACTTGAAATTGAAAGGCTATTCAGCAATAATCTCATCTTTGTGTTTTCAAACTAATGCTCCATGGAGTTACAGTTCTGCTGCTGCTTGAACCAAAACCTCCATTTAAATTGTTTGAAATAACTGAGCTTCTCATTAAGATGCAGTTCAGCTGTGGGAGGGTTGGGGGAAGAATGCTTGGCTACCAGTGATCCAGTCCATCTCTAGTTTAAAGGGGAAAATGGGCTAGAAGAGGTCCTGGGGTATGTCAGATCCACTCGTTTAGTGGCAGAATGTGGTGACACTACACCAGTGGGGTGGGACAGGTTGACAGGCCCTCAGCATTGCCCTTTATAGTGTCAGTTTTCAGATGCATCAACTGTTGAACCAAATGGTCCCACTGCTCCACTGCAGAAAGGTTCCTCCTTCTCCTTGGGGAAGGCTCTGACTGCTTTGTTTCCACACCGAATCTCTGCCGGACACTCTGTTCCTATCAGAATGACATCATAATGTCATTTTAATGTTTTACTGACAACTGGTGGAAATGAATTTTTAAATGGCAGGTCTGTATTTTTGCTCCCCCTTTATCAATGATTTAAAAAAAAAACTCTCTTAAATAGTACAACTGTCTCTCAATGTTTTGGGGGTTGGTTCCAGACTCCCCTGGGATACCAAAATCCTTGATGCTCAGTGGCATAGTATGTGTACTGCCTGTATACTTTAATCCTGTCTAGAGATTACTTATAAGACTTAACACAGTGTTAATGCTATCTTAGTAGTCATTATGCTATATTGTGTAGCGAATGATGACAAGGAAAAGGAGTCTGTGCATGTTCAGAATAGGTCTGTGCATGTTCAGAATAGGTATACTTGGTACAGATTTGCACTCTGGGTTGGCTGAATCTACAGACGTGGAACCTAGAGATATAGAGATTGACTGCATGTGAAGATGAAGCTATACTTGCATGATTATGAATAAAATTTTATGATTCTGAGGTCATGTCCACATAAAAAAATTAAAACGGGAACAATATGACTCAGTTATTAAAAAATCAAAATTTTGCCTTTGTGACAACATGGTTGGACTTGAGATGATTTTGCTAAATGAAAGAAAATAAATGACAGTGACCAGATGGGCTCTCTCATAGGTGGATTATCAATCATCAAAGCAAACAAACTACCAGAACACAGCAAAAATAACTCATAGGCTGGTGCTTACTGTAGAAGGGGAAGGGTGGCAGGAGGACAAAACAGAGGGTGTCAATGTGAAGTGTGACTAGCATCGGGATGTTGGTGGCAAGTAAGATAGAGCATATACATACACAGAAGTGTGAAGCTGTCCTGCCCACATTTATATAGTACTGTCAACCAAAACAATTTTGTTAAAAAACAAAACAAACAAAAAAAACCCTGAGGTGAAGGGGCATTTAATTGCATATCTGAGCTCCTCACACAGCTTGACTGCATAGTGGGTTACCTATGTATATGTCAAGTCTACCACAGACTGGGCAATTTATTCATTGTGTAGAAAGCACCTCAATGGTGAGATGCAGCATCTGGTATGTCTAGAAACAAAAAGATCAAAAACCAAAAAGCCAAACCAACAAAAACCCCAACCAATTCTGTATAATATCAAACAGTGATTTTCAAACTGTGGTTCACAATCACTAGTGGGTCATGACATCAATTTCCTGGGGTAGGAGAACATTAAAAACATACATGAGAGTCGGAAATGCTGCATATCAATGTTTGTGCAGGCCTTAAGGGTAAATATTATTTCAATTATGTAATTTTTGAATACAAATGTGCTGTGCCACGAATAAATATGTATTTCTCAGCCCGAATATTGCCTTAGAGAATGCACTTGCTGTGCATCCTGGTAACCTTTTGGGGACCCTCTTCCTTCCCCACAAGAACAATGAGCACCCCTGTGCCCTGGTTCACAGCCATATTCTGGTCACTTCCTGCAATCACTGCCCTGCAAGCTTAGTACAGGGCAAGCTCCTGAGGCGCACCTGAATGTGGGTTAGCAGAAACCTCAGAGCCCTGTTCCAATGTGCAGGTACCATGCGGGGGGCCAAGGTGGGGAGGGGCGAGATGGGGCGTTTTCCAGACTTGGTGTCCTTTTCCTCTGGCAGTGCCTTAGCTGCAGAGTGCAGGATCCTCCTGCAGGCGCACAGGGGTGAGGGACCGTCTATGTAAATGCTATCAACAATGTGCACATCCCACTGGCTGCAAATCATGTAAATTAAATTCAACAAAATAAAAGTTTCAAATAAAATCAAAGTTTTACTTAGTCATACTTAAAAAACAAAAGTAGTTTTATTTATATCACTTAAACTACTATAGTTAGATAAAAAGCTGATGTATTAGCATTTTGTGGCCAATGGCAGTAATTATACTACTCCAGTATTATAGCCAATATAGTCAAGTTAAATATTAGCCTGTAGATTTTAGCAGCTATAAGCTTAAATATATATATA